GAGAAAGAGTCAAAGAAGAGGAAGTGGAATGTTCAACAGGCTGGGTTGGAAAATGCCAAATAAGTCAGATTAAATAAAGCACCTGTCATGTGCTGTAAGGCTGTCAAAGTCAGAATGGTAAGATGATTGGGCCAATTATTCAATCCATCTGTCTTATAAGACCACTGGAAGCAAGAGAGATTGAAGGCTAGAATTCCATTTAAGAGTCTGTTTTAATAGTCTAGGCATTTGTGTAAATGGAGTAGCTATAATACCTCATTAAATTTAATATCCAAAAACAATTGTGACACACAGGTAACATTAACTGTAATGTTAGTTTAAGAAACAGAAGCTCAAAGACATCAATGGATTGCTTAAGGTTATTCTTCAAAGCCCATGATATTTGTACAACACCATAGTGACAAAGGGCATTCATCTCATAAGCTCCCTCCATTCAGGATCAGCTGTTCAGCGTCATTGTGTCTCCAGTATAGATATATAATCACAGGACAACAGACATGTTGGTCATCCTTGAAAGCTGAAAAAGGGAGACTTTTCTATCTCCAACTACCACAGAAGCCTTCTTGTAAGACTGGGTTTCCAACACGTAGACAGTATCTCATCTGTCTCTTGATCCTCAAGAGCTAGCCCAGGGTCTGGTACTACAGGAGCATAAGAAAAAGCTGCTGATTTAAGTATGTGAGTCATAATACAGATTTATTTTCTCCAGGAGAAGCTCCAAAGAAACAAAATAGTGTACATGCTTCTAATACTGCAACTCAAGAGTTGTTCCTACCACTGAGATTCATCCCAGGTGCAGGGTTAAATTCTGCTCCTAGTCCACAGTACAGAATCAGGGCAGTTTCCTTGCCTGTTTTGCTATGCTCCTTAAACCACGATGTTGATTCTGGATCAACTTCTCTTTCAGTTGCCAGTAGCTGCAACCATGTTCTGTTACCTAGGCTAATATCTTTATTTTTGAACTTTGCTTATCTCTCTATTCCCTATTTCTCTAAAAAACTATGAAACAGGACCTGACTTTTCAAACTGTCTGCCAGACTTCTGCTTATATACCAAGCCTACTGCCTAGACCCTGGTGATTATCCCATATATGAACTAATGTAGCTGGTGTACAGTCATCTACCAGATTCCAGTTCTTCCTACTATAGCGTATGCTTCTCTAGATGAAGAGGTTTGATAACAGTCATCAAAGTTGTAAGACTCATATGTAATACTTGCCATGTGGCAGGCACTGTTCTATGTGTTCTCTAAATACTAATGTTTGCAATCATATCAGTATACCATTATATTCTTTTTTAAAATTTAATTTTATTGTCAAGGTAATGTACAGGTAAGGTAATGTATAGGTAAGGTAGTGAGTACATTTCTTGTCAAACGTTGTTACCCCATCCCTCATTTTCCTCCCACTTTCCCTCTCTCCCAATACTGCCCCAAGTTGTAAAGTTCATTTCCAACAGTTCATTTCTTTGTGTTGTTAAAAAAAAAAACCCAACTGAAAGATCAATCACTTGTCTTATTGTTTTCAAACTGGCAAAGCCAGAATTTGAAAGCATTATGCTATAGTTCATTTTCCTAATCACTAAGACCTCCTCTCTCTCTTTAAAGGCAATGAGAAGAAAGAAAATATTCAGTTAGCAAATGTACTTATTATGTTAGATGCTTCATTTAATATAATTCACATAATGATGCCACTAAAATTAGTTATTTGCTCTTTTAAACAAATGCATTAACATTCATCTATAAATTTAAATCTAAAATCCATTTGGAAAGAAGCTCTTACAATGATGCTAAAACTTTAATATAGAATATTTTCATTTGGATTGAAAATCTACAGATTCTATATTTAGGCAAGTAGAACTCATAGACATTACTATTTTAGTAAAAATAATCCCAGAATATGGGCAGAAAACATAATAATGAACATATTTTGTTAAGAGAGGACACAAATCTGAGAAGACTGGAGAATCCAAGAAGAGCCAGGTGTCTATGGCTCACACCTATAATTCTAGCTACTTAGGAAGCTAAGATCTAAGGATTGTGGTTCAAAGTCAGAATGGACAAGAAAGTCTGTGAGACTCTTGTCTCCAATTAATCACACACACATACACACCCACCCCCACACACAAAGTAGAGCAAGTGGTAGAACACTAGCCTAGAGCAAAAAAGCTCAGTGATAGCCACCAGGGACTGAGTTCAAGCCCCCAGACCAGCAAAAAAAACCCGAAAACAAAACAAAACAAAATCCAAAGAAATAGTTAACTTCCTGGCAGTCTAAATTATTCTACAAATTCTAAATCACTTGACAAAAATAACAACACATTTCACTGTTATTAGTTCAGAAGATAAACATGACTAAATATAAGGAAGAATTTAAATAAGAATATAATAAGCTGGGCACTGGTGGCTCACGCCTGTAATCCTAGCTACTCAGGAGGCTGAGATCTGAGGATCACAGTTCAAAACCAGCCTGGGCAGGAAAGTCCATGGGATTCTTTTTTCTTTTTTTGGTTGGTCATGGGGCTTGAACTCTGGGCCTGGGCGCTATCCCTCAGCTCTTCAGCTCAAGGCAAGTGCACTACCACTTGAGCTACAGAGCCACTTCTGGTGTTCTGGTGGTTTATTGGAGATAAGAGTCTCTCGGACTTTCTTGCCTGGGGTTGGCTTTGAATGGTGATCCTCAGATCTCAGCCTCCTGAGTAGCTAGGATTATAGGCGTGAGCCACCGGTGCCTGGCTACTGTGAGATTCTTATCTCCAATAAACCACCAGAAAACAGCAAGTGGCACTGTAGCTCAAGTGGTAGAGCACTCCCCTTGAGCTGAAGAGCTGAGGGACAGTGCCCATGCCCAGAGTTCAAGTCCCATGACAAAAAAACCCCAAAAAACAACAACAAGAATATAATAATATGCATATTAATATGCATCTTGGATTCCTCTGTTTTGTACTATTACTCTAATTTTTAAAGCGTAGAGTAGTCACTAAAAGGTTTTGGTGGGCAGCTGTATATGCCAGGATATAGGGAGATTAAGTAATTAAGAAAACAGAAGTAGCTTATTTTCTAACAGAAGAAAGAGAATAAACATAAGGAAGTAAACAAATACATAATACATAAAGATATCTTTAAAAATCAATGATAGCAGATCAGAGAGACAAACGGTGCATGTTCTCCTTGATATGTGGAAGATCTAAAATGCACTGGGATATGACAAATTATGCAGGATTCTAAATACTCATATACAGTGAGACCTAAAGAGGACAGTCTTAGGAGAGAATTACAAATGTGCAATGCCTAAGTGCCTCTTCATCTTTATAGAAAATACAAATTCAAAGACATGAAAACAAAATATTTTTTTAAATTTGATTTTTCTTTTTGTGATGACTGTATTCTTGACCGTACATACAGTGTATTCACATGCACATCTGTGGGAGAGTGAAAGAAGGGTACAGAATCCGAGGAAAAAGAGCGAACAAGTGCAGCAGTGGAGCACACTGATGAAAGTAAACTGCACGACTGGTGGGTGGAGATGGAGGGAGAGAATGCGAGAGAATGAGGGAGCAGATGACATTGTACAAAAGGAAATATATCCATCACCTGATGCATATAAATGTAACTCCTCTGTAGATAACCTCTATAATAAAAGTAATGTAAATTCCAAAAAAAAAAATTAATGAGATCTTTGAAGAAAATAAAGCAAGAATTATAGGCATGAGCTACCAGTGCTTGGCTCCAAACATTTTTCTTTTTTTAACTTACTTTTATTGTCAAGGTTATATACAGTTACATATGTAAGGTAATTAGTACATTTCTTGTCAAACAGTGTTACCCCTCCCTTGTTTTTCTCCCACTTTCCCTCCCACTAGTTATAAAATTCATTTCCAACATATTGTCGTGTGTCCTTTATCTCACCATTTTGTTGTTCCCTTTCTCTTCTCCAAATCAAATAAATGTATATAGAAGACACAGGGTACCAAAATCAAATACAGTGACAACAGGGGATAAACCAAAGGTAAAGAAAGAATGAAAAAACTTGACACAGTACATTTAAAAACAACAACAACAAAGAAAAACCTCTTGTTTCCATATCTTGGAGTTCATTTTGATTAGCATCATCTTATATGGTCATATGTACATAGCTATTGAGTTATGATCCTCTGCTGGGACTATCCTAGACAAATACTAATTAGTACAAATGAGGGAAACCATGTAGTCTATGTTTCTTTGGGTCTGGCTTACTTCACTTAATATGATTTTTTCCCCAAGTCTTTCTATTTCCTTATGAATGGGGTGATGTCACCCTGCACCAGAATCAATTCCAAATGGATCAAAGACCTCAAGGTAAGAATAGATACCCTGAAAACATTACAGGAAGGAATAGGAGAAACACTAGGGTTCCTTGGCACAGGTCAAAACTTTCTTAACAAAGACCCAGAAACACAACAAATCAAAGAAAGATTGGACAAAGAGGATTGTATTAAACTTCAGAGCTTCTGCAGGGCAAAGGACATAGCTAGAAAGCTAAATAGAAAGCCTATAGATTGGGAGAAGATCTTCACTAGCCTTATAACAGACAAGGACCTCATATCCAAAATACACTTAGAGCTCAAAAAATTACCTGAAAAAACAAATCCTTAAAGAAACAAGCACCCCATTAGCAAGTGGGCCAAAGACTTAAAGAGAGACTTCTCTGAAAAGGAAATAAGAATGCTCAAAAGACACATGAAGAAATGTTCAACATCTCTGGCCATAAAAGAAATGTAAATCAAAACAACATTAAAATTCCACCTCATCCCAGTTAGAATATCTATAATCAAGAAAACTAATAAAAACAGATGCTGGAGGGGATGTGGCCAAAAGGGAATGTAATTACACTGTTGGTGGGAGTATAAACTTGTTCAACATTCTGGAGAGCAGTATGGAGGTTCCTCAAAAGACTAAACATTTTTATTAATAAATGATTGATGCTTAACATTCTTATTTTAAAAAGAATAGTCATTACATACCTGTAGCACATCACCTAGGTCTGCTGTGCTGATATCTGGATCCTCTGTGGTGTTGAAAGGCACAGGAGTTATTCTTACTAGGGTAAGCACTCGAGGTTCTGGATATCTCCATAACATCATCCCTGGGCTATCTTCTGTTTCATTATAAAACAAGACTTCATAGACACCAGGCAGCTTCAGAGGTTCTAACAAAGGAGAATATAATTTACGTATACTTTCAAAAGTGAACATGTTTATTGCTTAGAGCAAGAATAAAATCTAGTTTATCGTTTTTTATAACTTGAGACAAAAACAATTTAAGAATTTCTCTTAGACCAAATTGTAACATAATATTTTTGAACTGCAAATACAAGCTTTTCAAGTGATCTTGAAGTGCTATCATTTAGAGGACATAAATTTGTTAACACACATATACATATACTAACAGCTGGTACTTACCAGCATCTTGTATATACTGGAAGAGACCTGTTCGTAGGTCGTCTGAACTTTGCTCATTTTTAAAGTTCTGATTTTTTTCCACAGAAGATGGCATTTGAGATGCTGGTTCACAAACTTGCCCTTCAAAGTTTCCCTCCTCATTAAGATATCCACTGAACAATTCATGTAGAAGAACTAAACAATTCAAATGTTCTTGACCCCAAAAGACCTTTAAAACAAAATGAAAATTTCTGGTGGTCTTTAAATACAAATATTTCTTGAGTACAATTAGGTACAATCATATCTGAATTAACAAGAAACTATAATTATGTTCAGTTTACTTACTGATAACAAACTAAAGTTCTAATATGTAATAACATAGGATATCAACTGCAGTATACATTGTGTGACTAACAATAACTTTTAAATGTTTGATTGGTGATGAAATAACACTGATATGAAGTAATATATGAATTCATGTAGCTAAAAGGACAAAAAGCATATATTAAAATCCATGATTAACAAAAGTAGATCTTCAAGGCCAAATGCTAATAAATAATCCTAAATATGAGGTTCTTTTCTTTGCACTTTTACTCTTCAGAGACAGACAAAGAACCTGCTTCATGGACTTGATATTAGAAGGCTGTCAGCTTCTGGGCTTAGTGAGAAAGTACAAACACACAGGATTCCTTGGCCCCTTCCTGCAATCACCTCTTTAAAAAGCTTTCAGAGCACAAGGCTACAAGGACATAGACTTTCTTTGAATGGAATTAAGTTTTATTTTCCTGCTATTAAGCAATATATTGTAACAGATGTATGACCAAACATATCATAATGATTAACATTAGAGGAGTAAAATTTTTAAAAATGTGAAGTTGTCTGAATATATTGAGTGAAAGCCACAAAACTACTAATTCTAGAGGAGCTAGTCAATACTGAAAAGAAAAAGACATATATGAAGGTATTAAAGAGTAATCTTATTCCTGGAAGTTTTGAATCCTTGGCCTAATTTCTGCTTTCCAGAATTACAGCATTCTAGAAATCAAACAAAGAAATACAGTACTAAGTCTACTTTGAGTCTCATCAACATTATCTTTATTGGATGCTAAGAAACAATAGATGAAAAGTCTACATGGGTAGTCTAACACTATACATTCCAGCCTTTCAGTTGTTAAGGGATAGTCAGTAACTATATGATGTATGCTGTTTTTGCCTTTTTTTTTTTTTTGTCAGTCATGTGACTGGAACTCTAGGCCTGGGTGCTGTCCCTCAGCTCTTCAGCTCAAGCCACAGGCTCTATCACTTGAGCCACAGCGCCACTTCTAGTTTTCGAGTGGTTTTTATTGGAGATAAGAGTCTCATAGACTTTCCTGTCCGAGCTGCCTTTGAACCATGATCCTCAGATCTCAGCCTCTTTAGTAGCTAGGAGTATAGGCGTAAACCACCAGTACCAGGCTTCTTATTGTTATTTTTAATGTGTGGTTATTCTGCTGTTTTGAAAAAGAGGTAATACAACTAATATTCTCCATAAAGCAACACACACAAAATCATATGCTTCTTATTAAATAGAAACTGAAAGTCTCAAAAGCAACGTAGAGCAAATTTTGCTCTATATTAGGATACTAGTGAAAAGTTGAGGTGATTTAGTTGAAAATAAGGAATTCACATTTAATATGCCTCCTTTATGGATGAGTTGGTCATTTCAATTTTCCATCATTTTAAATCTCATAAGCTTTCAGAATTCATATCAAGTTGGCAGGAAATCAAATCATGCAAGATTAGATTCAAATCTATATTAATGTTATAAAGAGATAAGGTGTATACTCTCACACATTCCATACTTGGCTAAAAGGCAAATTTGTAAGAGGATGTAATGTGACATAATCAGACATTATAATATCAAAGGCTTGATACCACTGAAAGGTTATTATATATTGCCAGTGACACTGCTTGAGCAAGGTCAATTATTTGCAATTAGAAAACATTAAGAACAATTTGACCCAGCATTCCTATTCCTAGCTATATAGGCAGGAGAATATGCTGCACAAAAACTTGCATGCAGGGGCTGGGAAGGTGACTCAGTGGTAGAGTGTTTGCCTTGCATGCATAAGGCCCTGGGTTTGATTCCTCAGTACTACATAAGCAGAAAAGGCCGGAAGAGGCACTGTGGCTCAAGTGGTAGGCTGCTAGCCTTGAGCTGAAGAGCTGAAGGGCAGCACCCAGGCCCAGACTTCAGCCCCATGACCGACCAAAACAAAACAAAACAACTTGCAAGCAAATGTCCATAGCAGCATTAATCATAACAGAAAGAAGAAGATGCTAAATGTCCCTAATCTGATGAATGAGTGATAAAGAAAATGTTCTAAAATTTACTGTGGTAATGATCACACAACTCTGAATATACTCATACAAAGCAATAAAGAATATTCTCAACAGATGAATTGTATGGTATATAAATTATGCTTCAATAATATGGCTAAAATTTTAGTAATACAGCAATATGACAATACCCTTTTTTGCTACATAAAGATTTAAAATTTAGTGAGACAGTTAAAAAATAAGGGTTATTTAAAAACTTATTGGAAAAAATATGGTCAATCCCTACAGACCTGGAGCAGACCACCTCTTAAATCGATGGATATTTTTGGTATGGATTGTTCTGGGCCTGGATTGCTACTGTGTTTACACCATTTGGCCTCCAGACTGGAAGTAGCACAAAATGGTCCTATCAGACTCCGACTTCTTTCTCTGAGACTTGTTTTAAGGAGAAAATCATTTATGTCGAGTAGAAATGACACTCCAAGAATTACACCTAAGAAAGAAAAAACAGAGAGGGTGTATAATTCGTCCTTCACCAAAAAAAGTTTCGGAGGCATTATTTTTAAAGAGTGTTAACTGACTCTTCGTCAGTCTTTTTCAGTTAGCTTTCTACCAGTTTCATGCCATTTATACAGAACTCTACTCATGAAGCAGGCATACCTCATTCACATCCCTAACAAAGCAATATTTGCCAAAACATTATGACTTTTTCCATGTGTGAGCATTTAAAATTTTATGAGTAGAGGCATTTTCATTAAATTGTGCAAGTTTTTCAAGCAACTACATTAAGAACAAGAACAGCTGCTTCATTTGTCTTTTGTTAACATGATGTGAAAGGGTAATTTTCTATGATTTCTTACCACGAATATAGTACAGTATATTACTTTACTAGATACTCAATGTTTTTGACTAGCCTATGGTAAAATTCAAATCAATCAAAATATATAACATGTGTTTTGTAAAAAAAATTTAGTTTAATCCAAACTTCACACATCATAACCACTTGAAGTTTACAAAGTCTTAAAAACAGATAGTGGCAGGTTAGATTTATGAGGAAAACTATATGCTATAGTTCAAAGTAAATATAACCAGAAAAGGAATACACTTTAAAATGAAGGTTTTCTTTTGAACTTAAAGTAAGATTGTGGATCAAAACCTTTTCATAAAAGCAACAGCACATTTAAAGATATTTAGATGGAGTTAAGAATGGTGAGTTCACTTTCCTCCCAAGAAGCTCATATTCTAAATTGTCATTGTGAATATTGAATTTCAACAGACCACATTTGTAATGCTCAGAGCTTATTTTTTTAAAGCTATTTGAGCCTTCAAAAAGATGAAAGATTAAAAAACACCTTAGACCCACAGTAAACACATGTTTTAAAGTAATACCCACATTGACTTTTCAATTCTGTAGAGATTTGAAAAGTGCATATATGTTGAATGTTCTAGAGCAGAAATAAGCTATACAACTTTTAATCCTCCACAGAAGGGAGGATTGATCCTCCCATATCTGCAAAACTGCTAGCACTGATTTTTATTTTAAAAATTATGATAGAAATTCATTTTTGTCATGGAAATCAGTTTGTGTCACTGAAACTTCCACTTCACTTCTACAATTAATTCAAAGGTAAGTTTCATTTAATTACAGAATAGAAGTGACCACCACCACAGATAAGCTAAAAAAAAAAATCAAAACACTTTTATTAATGGAGTCTTTCACCTATGTCATAACTCCCTACACCAGTGCATTAGAATTCCTGTTAACCAGTAAATATTTGCTAAACAAAAAATACTAATTCATCCTAGAAATTATAATAATGGTATTACAAAAACAGGCTTAATTCAGTACAACTATGTAGAAAATGATAATTTTCTAGATTTCCCCCTGCCCTTTTTGTGCCTGTGCTTGGGCTTGAACTCATGGCCTTGTGTTCTTACTCAGCTTCTTTGCTCACAACTGGCACTCTACTCCTTGAACCATGCCTCCAGTCCAGTATTTTGGTAGTTAATTAGAGATGGAGTGTCTAACACTTTTCTTTTTGGGCTGTCTTTGAACACAATCCTACAGATCACAGCCTTCTTAGAAGCTAAGATTACAGGCATAAACCACTAGTGCCTCTTCCTCCCCTTCTTCCCTTCTTTCCTCCTCTTCTTCCTTCCTTCCTTCCTTCCTTCCTTCCTTCCTTCCTTCCTTCCTTCCTTCCTTCCTTCCTTCCTTCCTTCCTTCCTTCGTCTTTTTTGTCTTTCTTTTCTTTCTCCCTCTTTTGACCTCCCCTCTCCTTGCCCTCTCTTTTTCAGCCCTAGGGATTAAAAAGCCCAGGGCTTTGTATATGCTAAGAAAACACTCTCTCTCCAGAGCCGCATTTGAGCCCTTTTGTTTGAATTTTGCTTCTAAGATCATGTTTCATTGCCCACACACCTTAAACTTTTGACACTCCCCCCGCCCCCATCTCTTCTTCTGAGAAGCTGGAATGACAGGCATGTGTCAATCATACCCAGATAAAAATTTTCTATTTTGAAATAACTTTGGATTTATATAAAAGTAGAAAAAATACTGTGCTCTCATATGCCCTTCATGTAGCTATGTGACTAGAATAGAAACAGTGCAATCATGCTGATATGCCATCTCTGTCCATTGATATATATCTGTATGTTTATATGCACACACATACACATATATATGTATGTATATGTCTATATATACATAACACATATTACTGTTAAGTAAAGATCTTTGAGACTTATGAATAGTCCACTTCAATTAGTCTGTAAAGCCTTTGTCAATTTGGGTTTTTCTGATGCTTTCTCACGAGTAAAATAAAGTTATGTATTTTTGGCAAGGGTATCAAAACAGTAATTCTCTTAATTCCTAACAATGGGGTGTGGGATGCTGTTGTTTTATTGCTTGTAATATTTTATACTGTAAAGTTACTATTTTTCTTCAATAAATAATAAACTCCTTAGGGGTGTGTGTGTGTTTGTGTGTGTGTGTGTGTGTGTGTGTGTGTGTGTGTGAGAGAGAGAGAGAGAGAGAGAGAGAGAGAATATCTTTGGAGATTAAGCCAAATAGTCTAATTTTCACCAAACTTTAACCCATTAATGTTAGCAGTTATGTGTGATAATGATGGCTTCCTATTTTTCTTATTAGAACTGTGGATCAACCTCACTTACTAGTTCTACTTCTTATTTATATTAGTTTAGGATCTTAAATATTCATTTATGAGTCATAATCCAATGCTATCATTATTTACTTTGCTTCTTAAACATTACTAGAAGTAAACATTTCTGTTGCCTTTGGACACTGGTGGCCCATGCCTGTAATACTAGTTACTCAGAAGGCCAAGATCAGAGGATTGATATTCAAAGTTAGCCTGGGAGGAAAGTCTGTGACACTCTTATCTCCAATTAAACACCCAAAAAGATGGACATGGAGCTGTAGCTCAAGTGGTAGAGTGCCAGTCTTGAGTAACAAAGCTGGCCTAGAGTTCAAGCCCCAGTACTAGTACTCCCCTTCCCCCCCCAAAAAAAAGAAAAGGAAAGAAAGGAAGAAAGAAAAAAAGAAAGAAAAGAAAGAAACCCAAAACGACAACAACAAAAACCAGATATAGGGCTTCACTTGTTATCTGAAGCACACTGATAAATGAAATTATTTTTTCATTTTATCAGTATTTATCTATAAAATAATATTTGTAAGCATATGATAAAAGCTGTCTCGATAAAACTTATACATGCAAATTGTTTTTACTTGTTTCTACTATGTAGAAAGTACTTCAAAATACTCACAATACACTAGCTAAATTAGCTTGAAGTTTTTGTCTAAAAATCAAGTACCAAAATGATAAAATTATAGAATCGAATTTTTACTATAACAAATAAATAACTCTTGACAACCTTGGTGACCCTGTAAGCAGTACTGAATTCATGAACATTTCTTCCTTGTCATACAGTTTTGTTTTTTGTTTTTGTTTTTTGGCTTGGGCAGAGAGAAGGGAAACTGGAAATCTCAGGAGACAAAACATAGTTCTGCATTACTATAGCAAGATATCAAATATAATCAACTTATAAAAATAAAAGATTTATCTAGGCTTAGACTTGGAGGTTCTAGACTGCTTAGCCTCATTCTTTTGGACCTATGGTGGGCAGCACATCATAGTGGGAGCAAATTGTGAAGCAAAACTGCTCTCCTCATAAACAACAAGCAAAGAGAATGAGCAAGAGATTGGGAATTCATGATTCCCTTTAAAATCATGATCCTATGACTTATACACATTTCACAAGGCCATAGATCCTAAAGATCCACTGTACAATAGTGTCATGCTGGGGACTAAACCTTTAACCAACATAGACTTGGGAGATATTCAAACTATATCAGGTAGGAGCTGCAATCTTGGGGAAAGTGGCATAGAATTAGGTAGAAGTTTGGGAGTTTGGACAAGAAGAAGGAAGCGGGCCAGCTTCAAGTGAGCAAGGAGGGCAGGAAGATGCACAAGATTCAGAGAGCTTGCAACTGAGCTACCCATGGATGGGCATGAGATTCAAGAAAAACTTTTGGGAAATAGATCTTTCTTTCTGCTTGGTCTTCAAGTTAAGAACAGGAAGGTCCTTGTCCTGCTAGAAGCTACCAAGTAGAGCTTGAGGCTGATGCTAGTAACACATAAAGAGAGACCTAATGGCTTCTGCCATGCCTAACAACAAGTTTTCACCATAACTGCTCAACCCATTTGAGGTGTTTTATGGCCACCTGAAACCCAAAGTGTGCCAAATAATTCATACCTGCCAAGATATGAGACCTGTCTCCTTCCCCTCACCTTTCTCCTCCTTTCTCTTAGGTCTCTCTTTCACTCTTTTTTTTTCCATTCTTTTTTTTTTTTTTTTTTGGTGAGTCTGAACCCAGGGCCTTGCTGTGTGCTCACTAGAGAGGCATCCTCCCACCTGAGCTATGACATCAGCCCTTTGTGCTTTAGTTATTTTTAAGGTAGGGTCCATCATGAATCACCAAACCTGACTTGCTTGTTGACATGGGGTCTCTAAAATTTTACTTGAAATGTCCACATTTCCAGCTCAGGTATTTTGCTGGTTTATTAGGGATAGATTCTTGCCAACTTTTTTGCTTGGGCTGGCTTTGAAACACCCTCCTCACGACTCAGCCTCCTGAGTAGATACTACTATTACAGGTATGATCCACTGGTCATCCAGTTGTTTTTTGATTTTTTTTTTCAATGCCAGTCCTGGGGCTTGAACTCAAGGTCTGGGTGCTGTCCCTGAGCTTTTGTGCTAAGGCTAGCACTCTAACACGAGTAATAGCTCCACTTCTGGCTTTTTGGTGGTTAATTGAAAAGTTTCACAAATTTTCCTGCCTGCACTGTCTTTGAACCGTGATAGCTGACTGAGTAACTAGAATTAGAAGTGTGAGCTACCCCTGCTTGTTTTTTTTTTTTAATTTTTGAAACAGCATCTCACTATGAAGCTCAGGCTGGGCTCAAACTTGCAATG